CTTCCTGGTTGATGGCTTCCAGTTGATGATCTATCATTTGCTGGGGTAGCTTCACCACCAATCATCTACAAAATATGGGGTAGGGTAAAATTTAGTACTCTTTTGTTAAAATAATCAGAGATCAAACAAGACATTTGAAGAAAATAATCAAAGAAGCCCATAAATCTTTGAAGTATTAAATAATCAAAGAAAGCCATAAACCAGAGAGCCAAACCAGCCATAAATCTATTAACCAAATGTGCCCTCCGAAAGCCTACTATCTGCTATACATCCATGTTTACAGCAGATACACATCTCTTAAGTGTGCTGTCAAGAATTAGGAGTTTAGGATCGGACGACACCATAAACACATTTATGTCAGCCATAAACCTCAATATACATAGTATGTAGGAGTCTTAAAAGGAAACAATTGCTCCATGCATGCCCTCATAAAGACTACTATTTGCTATACGTCCATATTTAAAGCAGATACACATCGCTTAAGTGTGCTGCCAAGAATTAGGAGTTTAGGACGACACCATAAACACATTTATGTCAGCCATAAACCTCAATATACATAGTATGTAGGAGTCTTAAAAGGAAACAATAGATCTATGCATGCCCTCATAAAGACTACTATTTGCTATACGTCCATATTTAAAGCAGATACACATCGCTTAAGTGTGCTGCCAAGAATTAGGAGTTTAGGACGACACCATAAACACATTTATGTCAGCCATAAACCTCAATATATTTCCTCCGTTCTTTTTTAGTTGCAACATTTCCCTTTTCTCGTTTGCCAACGCACAACTTTAACCAATATTATATTTATTTTTGTATTAGTAATGAGATTGTGAAACTTAGTAATGAGACAAATTCAACAATATTTTTCAAAAAAAATAATTCACACACATTAATAAATAAAATGTAGTCAAAGTAAAGTACATGATCAGTGTATAAATTGCAATGTTGCAACTAATGCGCTACGGAGGATAGTATGTAGGAGTCTTAAAAGGAAACAATTGATCTATGCATGCCCTCATAAAGACTACTATTTGCTATACGTCCATATTTACAGCAGATACACATCGCTTAAGTGTGCTGCCAAGAATTAGGACGACACCATAAACGCACTTCTGTCAACCATGAATATGGGTTTATGTATGAATACATGAATTTAGTACAAGAAAGGTGCAGAGAACATAAACTATTAGGTACTTTTCAAAATAGTGATCATAAAACATATGAAAATGAAGACACGAACAAAAGTGATCACTCAGTTCTACAAAGTGACACACCTACACCCATCACAATCTTGTCACTTGGGTAGTGAATCTACTAAGAGTCATCCATAATCAGAAAACTTAGAACACAATCAACCTAATGATATGAGCTTTACAGACATGAAGGAAAAATAATGTGTGATTCTAAACACAGTGCATTTGGATTTGGAACTTCAGGGAAAATACTTCGCACTGCATAAACATATGAAAGTTGCATCTCAATTAACACAAGACCTGATATCAATTGCAGAAAACAGAGCTACATGTACATTTCCACAGTGTGAAGATGTCAAAATAAAGATTGGAGTTAACATGAATAAATGAAAAGAAATCATTGGAGTGATGTAGTTGGAATAGAAAATAACACAAGTCTAAAGAAAATAGCAAAATAGCTAAGCTGGAGCCTGGAGGATCCTGCCAAGAGATTGGGACTAGTGCCAAGAAGAGTGACTTGGCTAAGAACCACCATGTGAATAATATCACTATTATTAGCATCTGCTATACTTTATTTGGGCATGGTACTAAGTTATATTAATCTGATCACCTTTTTATAATAAAAAAAAACATACATAAATTTTTCCTTTGATAACACATCAAATCTTGAAAGATTACCTCGTTGTTTAAACTGTTGAGGATTCCGCTCAATTGTTGAGAAGTCATGTTTTGTTTGAAAGCACTCAACAAAATATCAACCTTTCTTGTAAGGGTAGAAATTTGAGCTTGAAGAATAGGCACTTGTGGGTCTTGGATAGGCACTTGTGATTGTTGAGAAGATGAAGCACTTTTATCCTTCATTCTCGTAAACTCTACGCAGGGAGTTCGGCCTCTTTTTCAGGTCCTTTCACCTTTGTTAAGTCATCATTTCTCCAATCAACACTATCTTCAGAATCTTGAGCACACACATCCTCATCCATCACATTATGAAGAGCTTGCTGAACAAACAAGCTAGTTTAAAATTCATACAATAACTAATAACTGAGACATTTGAAGTTAAACAGTAATTAGAAGCATTTGCTTTATGAGAGTTCTAATTATAGAACTCTTCTACCAACATTTCTATTTCTGGTTCTTGAAACAAGTAGGCAAACAACATTCAAGGAAAATGAGAAATCAAAAAGTCAATGTCTATTACCACAACTGTAGTTGCTGCAAAATTGACGATGGTACCATTTTTTCGGGTGCGAGTTTTAATATACAATCTGTGTAAGGTATAATTACAAAGAATAAATGCAATTCAATTTTGCTATTTAGATATATAGATTAAAGTAAGAATTTGTATATAAATTGATTTCATGACCTGAAATTTCAGTGGTGTATCAAATAGAACGCTAATGTTCTCTTACGAAAAATCAAAAGTTAATATATAACACAACTAGAACTATCTAGTGTTAATATTGAATCAGTGATAGATCAAGCTCACTAAGTTCACCAAAGTACATAGTATAGAAATCAATCATTATTACTAACTATATATCATGGTTTGAAATAGCGGCCGCTATATAGCGGTCGCGGTAGGGGCCACTATAGCGGCCGCTATATAGCGGTCGCGGTAGGGGCCGCTACCGCTACGGCCCGCTATTCGTGTGTGATTTCTAAATCACAGGAAAAATCCGCTACGCCGCCCGCTATAGCCCGCTACAGCCCGCTATTGACATTTTCGGCAGTACATCACGAACCGTTTGATGTGTAAATGTGTAAATGTTGTGTGAATGATGTGAAAAAAATACATAATGGTGATGCATGGAGTGAAACTCAAAATTAAATGTTGTGTGAATGATGTGAAAAAATACATTTATGTTTTGCGCAATTGAAAATATTTCACGCCGCTGCAACCGCTACAGTCGGCTACATGCCGCTACAGGCCGCTACCGCGATGACCGCTACCGCTGCCGCTACGACTATTTAAAACCTTGCTATAAATTAATATATATAAAAGTATAGACATATCACATAAATATGATTTGATTTTGTTAATTAAATTTATAAAATCAAAATTGTGGGGTAACAGAATTATATTGATCTTAACTCACGTATAAACTAAGAAGTATGGGGTAACAGAATTGATCTCAACTCACTCTACTCACGATCTATATTACAAATTTTATCATTTGTGTATACAATCACACACCAGGGATACAAATCAATGCAAAGTAGAAAGCCTTTTTCATTGTGCTGGATCAATATAATTAAGGAGGCATGAATTAACTCTAGCAGAGGATCAAATATTAAATCGATACTAAGCAAAAGCATTAACAGTCCGATGGATATTGAAAAGCGAAAAGATCCTAGCAGTCTCTTTCTGATGAGCGTCTCTTTCAGAAATTACTCCCAGGGATTTTGTTTGGTTCAGCTATAACATCTCCATGACGAACCAGTCTCTTTCCGATGAGCATAGGATTCTAAAAGATCTCTTCTATCTTTTGGTTTTTAAAATTAAAGTTTAAATGTTGGTTTGAGTCCTAACGACCCATATCCCAGTAATCTGTAACTTTATTTTGGCTTTCATTAATGTTTTTATAAGTGTCTTCTTTAGTATATTTTCTAAAAAACTAAATTAGCATATTTTCTAAAAAACGACCAAGTACTTCTTTGGTTTAGTGATGAAAGTTTAAACATGCGTATGTTGAATTATTATATAAACTCAATAAGAAATCTAATACTACGATATTTTTCTTGTCACATTAAAGTGTCAACATATAGAAGCTATTGTGACACTTTTGTTTGTCTCAATAAAAATGTGTGTCACCAAATGTAACATTTCTTATAGTGATAAAGAAAGAAAAAAAGAAAAAGAAGAAAGGAGAAAGTGAAAAAAGAACGGACTTGGGCCGCAGCATGCGCGCCGCTTCGGTCCACATGTGCTAAAAATCATATCTGATGAAATTTACGTAGGAGGAGGGTAAAATTGAAAAAAGTTAAAGTACGGGGTTAGATGAATTTCCGTACATAGTAGTAGAGTCAATTTGACACTTTTCTCAAAGCTTTCTACTTTCATGCTCCCTTCGTCCCTGATTGTTCTTCAATAGTACAAATGGCACACAGATTAAGAAAGTGAATATTGTGTGGTGGAGAGTTGTGCCGAGGAGAGAGAAATATGTAAAAAATGTTGTGAACAACAAATTCTTTATCAAAAAGGAAAAGTGAAAATTTTAATGAGACGGACGAAAAAAGAAAGTTGGAAATTCTTTAAGAGACAAAGGGAGTATAATAATTGAAATAATAGAAATCGCTCTACCAAAATGACAAGGACGTCAAACGAAGCTAGAATTAGAGTTACTAAAACGTAACATTGAAATTATTTGAGGCGACTTAATTGACAAAATATGTTAAATTATGGGATAATTAAGTTTAAATATATTTTATTAATAAAATAAAGAAAAAAAATATATGAAAAAATAAGGAAAATATTCCTCTACAGTGACTTTAACGAATTCACAAGCAATTACAATCTTACTTATCTTGATTATTACAAGCGAATCAAAAGTCATGTATGTATTTGGTAAAAGAATGTTTCCGGTAAGACTCATGAGTTAAGAATGGGGATTACCACGGGCTCTCAGAGTGAGTGTTACCGTTTCATGATGTGTACTGGTATTCCATCGGAAAATTTTCTTGTTCTGATGTTATCAATCTGGTTTTGTTACTTTGTAGCTTTGATTTTATTGATATTTCAATCTGTTTCCTTCCAAAAAGAATAAGGATTAATGTGATGTGTTTTTTATTTGTGCGAACGAATAGGTGAACAGATATGTGATGCCTGATTGTATTATCCCCGGCAATTTTGGTGGCGGTGGTGAAAAATATGATTGTGATGCGGGCCTGGCGGTGGTCGTTGCTCTCTCGATAGCCATAATTTCCATTGTGATTTGTCAAGTCATCTTTCTTGTAATTGGAGGTTGTCACTTCAAATGTCCTACATCGGATGATCCTGAGACTCCTGAGAGTACCAAGAAAATGAAGGTTGTTGGGTTTTTCTATTTAATGATGTATGTTTTCTCAAACCTCTTCTTAGTACACATGTTAATCTGTTATTACTTCTCCTCGGTTGAAAGTTGTCATTTAAGATTGTCATTTTCACGGCCGTTTTTTATGAAGTTCAACCGGTCATCTAGAATAGGGCCTAACAAATGAGATGCTTTCGGGTCAATTTGTTTTATAAAATTTTGTGAGAATATTTTCCATAAAGTTTACATTATATCCACAAAATTTCAATTTAAAGTTCAATTGAGAAGTTGGTCAAATAAATTATTGAAAAACACTGCACATACACTAACAAAATTTTAAGCTAACCTTTTATTGACATAATCTACCTTTCATAACATAATCAACATCGCGCCTAATCAGATCATCTCTTATTATATAGTTATATCATATAGTATTACAATATCTATAGCAATAACTAAAATCAAATAGGGCTTCAGTTTTGCATTTGGAACTGCCTTCAACGGCTCCGGTGATTTTGACGTGTCATATATATAATTATATTATATATAAGGATCTCATTTACGTGACGAGAGAAAGTAAAATATGACACACTTTCTAACCAACAATTAAATTTGGAGTAATAAGCTAATTTGAATATAGTGAGAATTAGTTCAATGGGTAATTGATGGCATTTGTTACGTAATGGGTGCTAATTTTAATACGTGTTATCATATCAAGGAGCTAATTATTATTACTGAAATGAGAACTTTTAAGTTTGATGTCCAAAAGAGGCACATGATATGAGTTCCTTGACTTGAGATAAAGGGAGTAGTGGACAAGTTCTTCATATGAATAAATTTATAAGTTACTCCCTCCGTCCCGCTAAGATTGTCCCATTTTTTCTCACAAAAAAAAAGGAAAAAGGGTCAAATAGGCCCCTTCTACTATAACAAAAAGATCACTTAGGCCCCTTCTACTAAAATAAGTATACTTACTATTAAAAAAGAGTCATATTGGTCATTTTACCGGATGGTAACTCCCTGCAGCAGGTTGTTTGACACGTGGACTTCTTATTCCTTTTTTATTTACTTTTTCCTTTACGTTTTCTCTTTCTTTTGTGTCTTGCTTGGACCGTCTTCCTCATTACTTCTATCCTGCTTCTTTCTTTCGTCCTTAGAGCATCTCCAATGGTTCCTCTCAAGGACTTGTTTGCAATTTTTTAAAATATTCAAGCTAGTAGCCTACCATTGGAGTGTATATTACCTTTTAGCTTGGACAAGCTAATTAGCCAAAACAAGCTAAATGCTAGAAAGGAGAGAAAATTGAACTAAAATGGTAACTCCCAAATATATTTAATTTATTTATTATAATTAATATACAAATCTAATTAAAGAGAAAGTCAGCAACGGTAATGTTTAAAAGGGTTTCAATATTACTGTTAATTAAAGAAGTGCAACCCAATGATTTTTTCATGAAATACTTAAGTTAAAGTTGATATTTTTCATATAGAATATTTTTGAGCAAATTTTGTATTCCTTATTTTGTTACTTAACAAAATACATATTTTTGTACTAATTTTAATAATATGCATTTTCACCCTCGTCTGCTTAATGTTGGGCGTTGGATTAATGTTTGGTCAAAGTCATAGTTGATGACCAACTTGATCAATCTGCCAGAAGTTTGGTTATGTTTGCTTGTCAACTTGATCGATTTGAAAATATTTAAAAAAAAATATTATTTTTATTATATTAACAATAAAATTCATTCAAAATGAATATTTCAATATTGATTGATTTGTGGGGCCTATTCAAGAGGCAAGGGTTGTAGCTAACCATTGGACCATCACATTGCTGGAAAATGGATTAGCTAGAAAAAACTGAGGTGGCAAGCAAAGCTACAAGGTGTCTAGCTGACCGCTGGAGATGCTCTTAGGTAGTATGGACTACGGAGGTGGTAGTATTTGGTTTTCATTTCCTTCCCCTTTCTTCTTTCTTTATTTGTTTATTTCTCTTTCTAATCTCTACCAAGATACTCATCCTCTCTTCTTGTTCATTTTTTTAATATATATAATATTAGTATATATAATATTAATATATAATATTATGAAAGTTATAAATTTTATACTTTTATGAAAGTTATAAATATTATGAAAGTTATAAATTTTTATCTCTACAAAAATTTAACCATGGTTTTGATTAGTATATATAATATTATGAAAGTTATAAATTTTATACTTTTATGAAAGTACTTTTAACAAAGATCTAACATTTTCATATCATTTTTATATTATAAATAATTTTCATAACTTTCATAACTTTCATATTATAAAATTTATAACTTTCATAATATTATATATTAATATTATATATACTAATATTATATATATTAAAAAAATGAACAAGAAGAGAGGATGAGTATCTTGGTAGAGATTAGAAAGAGAAATAAACAAATAAAGAAAGAAGAAAGGGGAAGGAAATGAAAAACAAATACTACGACCTCCGTAGTCCATACTACCTAAGGACGAAAGAAAGAAGCGGGATAGAAGTAATGAGGAAGACGGTCCAAGCAAGACACAAAAGAAAGAGAAAACGTAAAGGGAAAAGTAAATAAAAAAGGAATAAGAAGTCCACGTGTCAAACAACCTGCTGCAGGGAGTTACCATCCGGTAAAATGACCAATATGACTCTTTTTTAATAGTAAGTATACTTATCTGATACTTTTTTTAGTAGATGGGCTTAAGTGATCTTTTTGGTATAGTAGAAGGGTCTATTTGACCCTTTTTCCAAAAAAAAGATTTTCCGATTTTTCTTTTTCTTGAAATCTCACTAAGATTGTCTCATACAAACTTTAGTAAAATTTGTGTGGTTCTGAATCACTTTCATTTGTTCTTAGTTTATCAATTCAATATATAAACCACATAAACTCACTTTTTTTAATAACCATGCACCCATCATATCTCAATGTTAGTAGGACAGGGGCAGTATTAATATGATCATTTATGCAAATAAATAAAATTATGTGGCTAATAACGGGCTAAGTTGAACATAATCCTGAGCCCTGCTATCTATCCGTCAATCTAATATTATGAGTCATCTTATCATCTTGCGTCTATGTGATTATCTGTACATAACATACATAGTATCGATCGGTGGATCGGTCAGTTCCCTTTGTGTTGTAGGATGTATTCTTCTAGGGTTGGGAATACCAAGAAAGGGGAAATCTACACAAAAGATGTGCCCCTCTATACCTAATAGTGACCCCACAACGGCTTACCCTCCAAGTTTTCAGGAACCCCATACTAAAAAGGTGTGCCCTACAGCTGCTGCTCCTGCCATTGGAGGTCTTGTGGTGTTCTTGCACATCATCATCAGCACGCTTTACTATGGGTATGCAGACAAGAACAATCCTAGTCCCCCAAGATAAGCGACCCCTGCCCCACCAGTCTGCACTTGATTATATATAGTTTCAGGCCATGTACTCCAATTAGTTAGGCAATTACTAATTGATTGCTAAGGACACAATATTACTATTTTCTTCTTATTACATAACAAGTACGGAGTATATCACTATAATGGTGATGCATGGGATCATATTCTTGTTCTTATTAGTTTCGTTTTAGTGTTGAATGATTGAAAACTATTAATCTAAGATCTATATTGTCCTCAATTTTATTATTACTATATTTTAAAATTTTAAAATATTATTTAGTTTTATTAGACTAAACTTTTGTGAAGAAAATTTCATCAAAAATTAGCAATGCAATTAATAAAAAATTAAATAAATCAAAATATGTGGAACTTTAGGTCTTTTATTGATAGTTTTCAATCATTCAAATCTTATACAGACACACTTCATCTTTCAAATCCCGGATTGATAATTCATATACAAGTATCTTTCACGTCCTTGATTGTCAGGATTGGTAAAACTTCTAGTTGTTTTTATAATATTTTGCCTGCTACCAATTCTCTTTTACGGTTTATTAATGGAAGCAATGGCGCAAGTAGCAACGCGGTTCACTCATATTGTAACATGTTTGTCTCACTTTACTTTTGTCCGTCGGTTATTCTTCTATCAAAAATGTACTCCCTATATCCTTTTTTGTCAAGTTTATCTCACACTGAAACAAGATTATGTGATTGATATTTGCACAAATAATAATGAGACAGTATACCAATTTTAGTTGGAAAACTAAATAAGAAATTGTGCGGATTTTGTGCTATACGAATAGAGTTTTTTCTCTCTAAAATAGAAGTTAAATGACTATAAGTATTTTTAGCCACTATTATGTACGATTTCAACGTTAATATAGTCACTAAAAGTTACTGCGTATCAACTTATTTTTTTGTCCAATATCCATATTTTGATTATATACTTCCTCCGTTCTTTAATTCTTGCAACTTTATGATTTCTGCACTATTCACAAACCTTACTTTGACCACGATTTTCTACTAATATACATAATCAAATTATTACCACTAGTAGAGAAATTGGCTTTTAAGGCGCTTTATATGTACCTACGGCGATGCTAAAGAGCGTCGCTAGCACTTTTACCGACGCTAGTTAAAGCGCGGGCTTTGCCTATGTCGCTAGACCCTTTTTACGATGCTAAGTCTTAGCGTCGGTAAAGAGTTATAAAAGTATTGCTATAAGTGAGGCACTTTTTATTAACCTATAAAGGCACACAATTAGCGTCGCAAGATATTGAACTACAATTTGCAAGCACCATTATTAATGAGTTTTGTATAATTTCATACGAAATTATACAAAACTAATCATTTAAAAGAGCATTTACGAAAACACGAAATGAAATTTAAAATGTGCAGAGTATCATTAAAACTATTCAAGAACATTTCAGATATCACAACTGTCAAACAATGCTTGAATCATACAAGTTTTAATCCATAAAACTAAGCACATTGTATCAAGATATCCATTATCTATTTATCTATTACATAGTTCCAAAATCAATCCTCATCATTGAATCTTTGGTGCTTGTACAGAAATCTGCAAAAGCAAAAGAAAATAAGATCATGAATAAAAAATTTCAAAAAGATAAACACATAATCTAAACAAACCACTGCTCATAAATAACAAAGATAATAAAATGATGGGAGATCAATACAGTTCGAACTGAAAGACCAAACCTAAGGAATGAAGACCCTAACACAGTTCAAACTACATAATTCCCTTCATGCTATGACTGTACACAACTGCTATCCAATTATTTTCAGGTTGTAATTCTTAAAGAGTACTAGTGAATTTTCCTATGAACAAAATGTTACCCCATAATAAATTCCAGAGGTTTGTAACATTTAGGGAAAGATAGCTTGTTGGTTCTAACTAGTTATTTGCCTAGTACCTGCCCCTACCCCACCTCACTCCACCTCGACCCACCCCCATACAGTCCACACACTCACACAAAAGTGTATACATACACATAGATAGTCCATTCGTCTGATTTATGTTTTTCCATCTTTATACAATGCAGGAAAATTTTAGAGCAAAAAAGACATAGAAGATCAACCCAAGTAAACAAAACATTCATAAAGAAAGAGGTTACTGAAATTCAGAGAAGATAAAACCTTTCATGGAAGAATCTCAAAGGTTGCCCTCATCAAGATGAGGTAGAAGAAGCCATATCACCCCTATACCAAACATTAAATATTACTTAAATGCAATTATAATTAAGCATCTAATGTAAGCAAACTTATAAGATAAGAATAATTTACACTAAATAGTACCTGAGTTTGCAACTTCCTCTTCAACTTCATAATAGTCATTTCTTTCTTTTTTATACGATTCCTCATCTCTTTCATTGACCTCTTCAGCTTAATAATAGATACTCCTTGCCTTTTCACGCGTTTCTTCAACTTGTGCATTGAATCCTTCAATTGGCGAATATAATACAAAGCAGTTGTTTCATCCTCCGAGGACATGTTTAAGCCATTAAACGATGTTGGACGTGAAGCGTTTTCAAAATCTGATGGCTTCACACCTAATCCTAAACCACGGACACGGCCATATTGATCTTTACCCAACACTTTGGAAACAGGATCATCATCTAAGCTCATTTCTTGGTCCCCTTGCTCATCTACGATGTCCTTAATCTGACTCTACAAAGCATATTAGATAAGGTATTTAATAAATACAAATATTATTGAGGTAGTCAGCAATAGAAGCACATGATGAACTCAATTCATTAAGGATACTAAGTGACTTATAAATTTGGTAAATGCCCCTTCAAGCTGTTTTGAAAAGAGAAGTAAAACCATTGCAGTACCAAAGATAAATAGGAAGTTCATATTACCACATTAAAACATAACTCAAAAGGTGAGAAAACATACTGTTATGTCTGCTTCTTTATCATGTTGATGACATTCTAAATAAACTTCAGTCCGAGTTGGGCTCTTGTTCAATCGTTGTTTCTACATAATAAATTGACAAACCAATTAAAGTAAAACAGTTAATGAATAAAAGTTTAGTGCACAAAAAGTTATGAAACCAAGCATTTTAATAGTTTTCTGTCTAGGTAAAGAAAAAAATACCAGCTCTTCACGAACACGAGCATGACTTTTAGTACCAGTCGTAGAAATCGGCTTCACCTTGGCTTTCTTGTGTGATTCTTTACTGCATTTGCTCCTCTTCTGCAATAATACCATGCAGATCTTATCAAATTGTTTCTAGAGGATAAATGTATTAATTTTGACATGGCAGAATGCGAAACAGTTATCTATATATAATTATATATATGCTAATGCAAATACATGTACCTGTCCTTCATCGGATCTCCAAAAATTGACAAGGCTAATCCATTGATCCTTTTCCACATCTTCTGGATGATTATCATGCAAACTAGTAATGTTTTTATCATCATCATACCACTTTCCTTTTAAAAAGCATTTGTAGTCCCTCCATTTATGATTAATTGATGTCAGTATCCATTTCTCAAGTGATTTGGGATATAGAAATCGATCCTAATAAATAATAAACACAAGACAAGCATAGGTTTAAAAGTGCAAAACAACGTGTGATCTTTCAGAAGAGTTAACTAGATAATATCATGTTTTGATATCACCTGAACTTCCTTTAATATCATTGTCTGATTGTTTCGGTTGTTGCCTTTCTTCAAATGATCCCATCTTGTATAACTTAATGAGCAAAGCTTCCCATTCCTTGCAATAGTCCCACAAAAACTACCCAGTACCCCTCCTTCTTCTCCAATTGGTTGATTCTCTTTATTGATCTCCACAACAATGTGATTCCCTGCAGGTAAATTCCAAACTTCTGCTAGAACTGTTTTTCCACGCCTTCGATTTCCATTGATGTCTGTTTTCATTAAAGAAAAACAACATATTTAAAAGGGGATATATATACACACTTTGAGTCCATGTTCTAAAGACCATACCTTGAGTCCATTCTCTAATGTTCTTATCTCTTCTTAACACTTCATACTGTGAGCAAAAAGCTAACTAAAATATTTATTTGCGGTGCTCAATTAACAATGTAACTATTTTTAGTTCCAACAAAGTACCTATTTCTAATTCCAAGAAAAGTCTATGATGTTCCAGAATGTATCAACACACCACAATACAAAAATAAATAGGCTGATTTTAAAATACCTTGTACGGTGTATTCGTAGATTCTTCCTTCTGAATTTTCAGGTCCATTTTCACTGATGCTTCCATCATTTAAGCTACATGAACTGGCAGTAAGATTTTGCTTCAAAGTTTCCTTTCGAGGTCCATTGATACTTCCACCATTAAGGCCAATTGAACCACCTTGATGTTGTGTCTCTGTTCTATTACTTCCACTAGTAGTTGTCATACGCAATTTTTTCTTCTTGTGTTTAGCCATATCCCTTTAAGTAAAAGGGATGGTGAAAATATGATATTGAATAATCGATCTCTTCATTAGAATGAAAATAAGAATCAAGATAAAGAACATACACTCATCATAGGAGAGAAACTAGAGAGCAAAAAAGAAAGATAAAGGTATTTATCATTGCATCATTTAACATTTCATGTTATTAATTTGGATCAACTTCAGTTCCTTCCACACCTCTCCTAACCCAACTATAATTTCCCTCTTCGTTGATAAGTAAATTATTTATAAAGGTAATATGATATGGTTCACTCTCTCTGTCTTCTCTCATTTCATCAGCACCTAAGTCGTATGCATCTTGAGGCTTCATCTTTATAACAACAAACCAGCTTGGATCAATATGGTCTTGGATGTAGAATACTTGCTCAGCTTGTGCTGCAAATATATATGGCTCATCTTCTAATCTTTCTCCAGTGTGCGTCATACGAGAGAAGTTCACAAGTGTAAAACCGTATTCATCTTGCTTTATTCCTCTCCCACTTGTAGCATCAGCCCATTCACATTTAAACAACACGACTGAATATCCACCCAAGTATTTCAGCTTTATGATGTCTACCACACGTCCGTAATAAGCAACATCACCAAGAACCGGATTTCTATCATTTGAGCTAGCATAGCTTGATGTCTTTGCAATCACAACAACACCACTGTTTTGAGTACACTTGTCATACCTCTTGGCTCTAAAAGTAAACCCATTAATTGTGTAGCCTTGATATTTTGTAACAACATCAAGTGGACCACGTGCTAGCATTCTGACTTCCTCTTTTATACTACTAACACCATTTGTTTGCTCCAACATAGCCACCTATATCAAATATTCATATCATGGATTGTTTATATAATAAGAAATTAAAGACACTGGATATGTTATATATATGTACTTACATGTTGACTCAACCATTCATGAAATGTTTCATGTTGAATACGTTCCAAATCTTTCAATGATAAGCGCCTTGGACGACTACGTCTTCTTACCTCTGCAGCATGCT